GGCCAGATTTTTTGTATCATTCTTGGTCCTAAACTTCACATTTTCTTCCTACATTTACTTTGTCTGCATATTTGCTTATCAGTCTCTCCAAAATATTGTCAGACTGAATCATTACCTTGACCCTAGTCTGACAAAATTCTTATTCATGCTTTACTCATGCCCTATTCATGCCTATTGCAATTTCCTCTTTCACAACCTTCATAAATCAATACTTTGAATTTGAAATGTAGCTTTGCATAAAAGTCAATATTCATATGCTTTGGATTTGGGGAAGGACACAAAGTCTTTTGCTTATCCAAAAAACTACATCATCTGTCAGGATTTGATATATGAGATTAAATCTTTGCATGATACACAAGTGTATTGCCCTATGAGTTTAAACTGAAATATGGAAACTGCATTACAATGATTTAGTCTTGCTTCCAAATTTGTGACATATTCACCTATGTAAATTTTGTGGAGAACAGTGGTGGGCTTGCAAAAGAGCAAATCTGGATTTCAACCTCCTTTCCAATTCCTCTCTGACACTGGTTGAATAACTTATCTGTCTGTGCCTCCGTTTTGCCATGTACAAAATGCCTAGAATCACAGAAGGGGGTCTATGGCAGAACTAGTGATTTGAACCCAGATCTGAGTCTTTGTCTAGTGTCTGACACAAAATCATGTTTCCTACCTTGATCCATCTGCTCATGTAGCATTTGTATCCTCTTTTCCACTGTGTGTAGGTTTGTGACAGGTGGTGAGGAACCATATCCTTTGCAGTATGAATTGCGAGTCTGGAAGAATTGACCTATATTTCTCTGCCTACTTGACCCTTCATTTCAAACTCTCGTCCTAGGCAATGAATAGTCCTGCAGCACCTTAGAGACTTACAAAAAATGCAGATGGTATCATGAGCTTTCATGGGCACAACCTACTTCTTCCTATACAATGCTGCTCTTAAAAAAAGCCCCACATCGTATGAGAGAAACTAACTCTGCAACTGCATTATTCATAGCATAAAATTGTTAAGCACCTAAGATACTTATGTTACCACATCTCATTGACTTTTCCTAATGACAGTCATTGGGGCTTAGGAATCTGACAAGATTCACAAAGGTTGTAGTGCCAACCACCAGGGGCACTGTGGCTAATGGAATTCTCATCCCTAAATTAAGTGTCAAGGCTCACCAGTCATTGCATGGGGAGAGGTAGGCATCTAAGAGATTCTTAGAAGCCATGAACCTGCTCATGGAGTTTGGTACTGAAACCAGATGACCTTTCCTTGTGGAAAAAGCAGAGACTCGCCTCAGAATATCCACCCAGTGGCTAGGATGCTTGCTTGGACGTGGGAGACCTGACCTCAAGCCCCTGCTCCAGATGGAGAACAGTCTCCAAACTCAGGTCTCCCAAATCTTACGAGTGCCTGAACCACTGGACTATTGGATACGCTGGAACACATGTATCTGTCATCCACCTCCATCTGTGTTTTATGCAGGACCTATCCCTGTAGGCATGCTGACAATTTGGGCTGATCTACGTGTGGGTTACATTGTCTTAGCCATTTCTCTCAGGGGAGTGAATAATCCATGCTATTGAGAGATGAGTTTAAGCCAATGTAACCTTCAGTGTAGATCAGCCCAGATTGTCAGCAGAATCTGTTTGGCTTTGTATCCTTAGCCAAGCTCAAACTACAGATTAAGATTTACCATGAAGGAAATAAATTTCCTTACTACAATATTGCTCTTTTTAAATCCCAATTTAAATATGTATTAATGTGTATTTCTTCACAAATGACCTTATCAGAATTCATGTAATTAAAAACTACCTCATTTCTTTGTGAGAAACAATATGGTTTTAGTCAAGGTCATTCATGCACAGATGCAATTTTCACCTTAAGAAGGGTTATTGAAAACATGAATGAATATAAAGAAAACCTTGGTATTAATTTCATAGACTTTCGAAAAGCATTTGATCGTGTAAATAAGGATACCACGTGGAAAATTGTTAGGCTGTATGGGAATCCGATGAAACTTATCAGTGTAATGAAGAAATTTAACGCTAACTCCAAATGTTGAAATCTGTAGCAAAATAGTTTCTTGAATCTCTGGTACATCCTAACTTACACTATTTCTCCCCTTTGGTGTTCCAAAATAAGGAGAAAATATTCATATCCACATTCCATAGTTGGACAGAGAATCAAAGGAAAGGCTCAGGAATGAGAGCCTTTATCATCAAATAAAGTTTTTGTCTAAAAGAAAAAAATATACTGATGATTGGCAATGGGATAGCCTTTCACCCTTAAGAGGTACTACTAATTCAATTTAGCTCAGTAATGAACAGTAGTTACTATGAAGGAGTATTTGGGTGGCCTATGTGAAACTTACTTGGTGGCTTTAATCCTTTTCCCAGTAGTCACGTCCCCATTTTACATATATTGACATAAATGCTCTCATAACAGACTCAGAGAGCTTGACCAAAAATGACATGAGCTTAAAGAAAACACTTTTACCACCATGAAGTAGGTAGTCCAGTTTAAAGCTGAATGTATTGGCAGGGCATACACATAGTCAATTGACACGTAGTCAATTTCCAGTGCGTCATCTGACCTACTGATAGAGACCCTCAGTCTCTTTAGGGTTCATGTTCCAGGCCCATTAATATGGGGCTTTTTCAGAAATGCTCATGTTGCTTGTAAACAATTTTGTTTTGTTATTGCTTGAGCAAAATCAGCCTCTTCCATCAAAAGTATTTGTAAAAAGAGCAGGTTAAATCCTATGCACTGAATGAAGCAGGGGTCTTACAGGGGGAAAAAACCCAAATATGTGATCATGTAATTTAAGACTGTAGCACAATACCCATGCACAAGAGGTCCATCTTAATGTTCACAGACCACCTTAATTCTGGCATGTCCTTCTTTTTAAATATCCTACCTGTTTTTAAACTGCAATTTGTGTTGTTTGCTATCTTTTAAAAATGCAAACTGAAAAAAGTCAAAATCATATTAAATAGCCTCTGAAACCTTTATATTCTCCTTGCAGCTTTCTGCCACTTGAGCCGAGAGAGCAACTGACAGCAGTAGACAATTATTCTCCATGTGGCACTGGGTGAGGAGGGAGGGGAAATGAGACATACTTCCCTAGTGGGTTTCAAATATTTTACTGAGAGCAGTGGAATAGGGAGACTTGGCAATCTTGGGTTCCATTCCAGGCCCTGGAGGGAAGTATGTTCCAGTGGTCATGGAGCAGTCTACTCATCTCAAGTCTGATCCCTTCTGCACCATCCCCTCCTGTTCCAGTCTCCACTCTTAAGGTGTCTCATCCCTGTCTCCTACCAACCCTATCCAAGTCTCCTCATTCAAGTTTGTCTCTCCTTCGCACATGCACACGCTCACTCACTCCACTTTGTTGGATTCTCTAGGCTCCTCATACAAATTCCGACTCAATTCCCTTCCTCAGTTCCTTGTGCACTCTCCCCCTTCCCTGCCCAGACAGTCCCAATTTGCCCTGCCTTACTCTTGGCTCCTTATCAAATTTCACTCTGCTACCACAACCTCATCAGTTCCAGTCTCTTTGGTCCATTACTCACCATACACTCCAGCTTTTCAGATTTTTCTCTTAATCAGTGGATCAGTGTCTTTGCCCAACTGGTGCTTGTTTTGCCCCCCAAATCCACCTTGTCAGATCCGTTTCCTACCACCTGCTCATTTTTCTTCTAATTCCCTGTCCTTCCCTTTTCTAGCTCTCAGTTGCGGTGTGCCTGTCTTGCCAATTTTGTGTCTCCCTTCCCCCACTTCCATGCCCAAATCTATTCTTTCCCTTTCAGTTGAGATCCTTCCTTGTGCTTTTCCTAGTGGGAGAAAGGATGGGGCTTTAATGTGAGCACAACAGACAGCACTGAAGATTCTCAACAATATGGCTATTTAACCCCCATGCAAAATGATGTTTTCTGCTACTCTTGTTCTCTGAGAGAGCTGAACTGTTTTGGCTAAAATTTTCCGCAGAAATGCAACCTGCTACAGTAAATTTCAACCTCAATGATTAAAATCTAGCAAAGATAAAAGCAATTGGAAACAAGGTCTTACAATGTGGAAAATATAGGCAACCTTAAAAATAGGTGGCTGTGACAAAATGGGGATTGTATTTACTGTTTGCTTTATGTTGCATGTGATTTCTGTCTTGTACTGTTCTAGTTGTGTGCGCGCCTCAGTTTCCCAGGGCACTTCACTTGTGCCTGGCTGGGGATGGGAATTTTGGGTGTGACTCTCACTGAGGGGAGGCTGTCCCAGACTGCCCCCATCACATAAACAATGGTTCAGGCTCTCTTGTAACCTGAGTCTCAGGGGTGCAACCAGATCATACTACTTGCCCAGGAATGGGAACAAAGGAGAGGAGGCGGAGCTGCCTACAGGGCTGGGACTAGTTGCTGAGCATATGAGGGAGTCTCAGCTGGCTTAGGATGCAGGGAGGAGGCCCAGGGCCCTGACTCGGGGCACCCTACTCCCCAAGATGGAGTGTACTGGCTGATCCTGTGCTAACAACAAGTCAGTGCTATGCTATATCCTTGTGAACAAATAAACCTTCTGTTCTACTTGCTGGATGAGAGTCCCATTTGGCTGCAGATGGGGGTACAGAGCTCAGTGACTCCCACTTTTCTGTGACCGTGGCATTGTCAATTGCATAGCACAACAGATCCTGCTATGTAGATACCATTCTGATTATTAATATGTACATTTTCAGTAACTGGCTAGACATTAATTCTATTTCTCTGGTTTTGTTGCAAAAGCAGAACTGCACTGCCAACAGGAAGCTAGCGGAGGAGAAATGTCCCATAAATAACTGATTTCAGTTGTGCTTCATATAAAACAGAAGAAAATATAAGAATTCACAGATGTATCTGAAGTTTGGGTACAGATGGATATAGACATATACACAGGTATTTTGCATAACAAGGTTGCCACTTCATGTATACAAATCTAAGTAACTACCAAACATTTTAAAATAACACAATACAATGAATAGTCCAAGGACGTTGTTTTATTCCTTCATTTGTTGACCAATAACATTAACTGTTTTGAAAAGGAAAAATAAAGACACTTTTCCAGTGAGCTGTTTGAAATATTATTTTGCTATGTTTCTGGGTACTCAAGCATGAAAAGTTGCTTGGTGTCTTGCTTCACTATATAATTAAAAGTATTCCGTACTATTCCAAGCCATACTAAGAACTATTATATGTAAATGGGTAGTTTCCATAGTTGGGGTTATACATGAATAGCATTGTTTCATCAAACATCTCTTTTTTTAAAAAAAAAATTTGGATTTCTGTAAATACAAGAAAAAGTAAATCTCTTTTCAGAAGATGACATGCGATAGTTGCTTTATCAAATAATTTTTTCATTGTTTGGGATACATAATTTACATGTGACAGACACAATAGACAGGTTTGTTTATCTTTGTTTCTAAAAATCTTCTGGAAAAGAAAACCTGTAATCACTAACTTTGAAACTTTTTGGTGCAATATTCAAAATCAAAGATAGGACCAGATGTTAGGACCAGACAAAACACAGAAGCACAGGTCTGGGCATATGAGTACATGCATGAGAAATGGGTCAAAAAGTTCACCTCTGTAATCTTCTGATATTGGGTTGCTGCATATGAGACTAACTGCTAAGCATGTTAGAGCCAATGGCAGCTAAACTGTGACCCATTCTTCACTGCTCAATCTTTTATATATCTGTATTTTGGAAACAGAAAAATGAATAGAGTTCTGAACTACATGATGGCATCATCTTAGCAATATCTATGGCCAGCTTGTATAACAGTTCAAGGATGTCAAATAGTCACTTCCTCTGAGTTGTAGAGCAACCTGAATTCAATGTAACTTAGGCAGCTGTAGTAACTGATGGGCATTTTTCTAACAAGAACTCAGTGATTTTTGTATATCTTCTAGTTTGTTTTATTTCCACCTTGCTCATTCTAATTACACAGCTTAGCTTTTCAAAATGACAATAGAGATGGTAACAACTCTCAGATGCAGCAAAAATGTTTGGGTTACTCAATATAAATATGCCTTTCAAGAACGTTACCACTGTAAGTTACTAGACAGTCTTTTAAAGAGTAAAGCTTGCAGAAATATGTAATAAACTCAAAATGCAAGCATTAATATGCAGCAGTTAATTTCACTACAGTAGCTTTTACCGTTTAGAACATTGGTACTTGCAAGGCTGCTAAAACAGCTAAATTGAATGGCCAGATTGCATAAAATCTTCACTTTAGAAAAGGTTATTGTACTAAACAGTTCATTAATAAATACTCATCAGTATTGCCGTTAGAATTCCTTTGTGGCACAGTACTGAAAATACTTGAACACTTCATCTTCTAAAATGTACATGTACGGTTTGTATACATACTAGTTTGAGCTCGCAACACCCAAATTTGTGTATTCTAATCAGTTAGATACAAAACTACATGACTTTCAATGAGGATGACTCTTAACAGTAGAAATAGGTTTTTTTTAAATTTCATAAGACCTGCATTGATTATTATTGTAATATCTGTAAAAGATTTTTAAAAAATTAGGACAATTTAAACCAGAGATAGTAGTAGTAGTAATAGTAGTATACGTAAATGTGTATTTCGTGGCCAATACAGGAATTCATTAAATGAATTAATAGCGAACTAAATGAATTTCGGTAACCAATAATCATGTAGGGTTTTTTTTTAATCAATCAGATTTGGTCTTCCTGTTCTAAGAATGTCTTTGTAAACACACAGAAAAAGACTTCTCAAACTGATGTATTTATTAAGTTTGTTTTCAATTGGATGGCTTAAAAATAACCACTTTGAAATCCAATGTAAAATGCATATGAATGACCTTTGCAGAATTTATAATATCAGTGTCAGTACTACTAAATTAACATTATGAAATCAAAATACAGGTCTTCAGTTCCTAAATGGCATTTTGTTAAACTGTACACCATGGTCCACTAACAGGAAAAAAAGGAAACAGTTGCCAAAAGTATGGCCTCTCCTATACACGCAACAAAGAAAGAGAAGGGTTTAGAATGTTTATCTTTTTGCTGTCCAAAGTCTGTCAAGCCATTAGCTTGATAGCAAGAGATTCTTGACATTCTTCAATTGCTACTGTGCAAACAGAATGCTGAAGGCCATCACTATACAGCACACAGCTACGTATGGACTCTTCCGTTCGCCTGGTGGAAAGAATTAAAGCGAATTACTGACCAGCTATCCCTAAGAGAGCAGGCAGACATTATATCTAGCTTACTATAATATATTGATATATAATGTATATTAATTATAATTCTGTGTGGAAAAATAGATTATATTCAATAGTTACTGTTGAAAGTACTGCAAGAATGTGAATGCAGCTATTTCAGGATATTTGAGAAAAAGTACAAGAAAGGATGAAGGAGGAGAAAATTAAGTGAAAGAGAGAGGCAGATTGGCTGTTTAATTCAAGGTCCACTGGCAAAATAAAGAGGAGAGCATGATAAAGCCATTTACAGTTTCTAAAACCTCTGCCTAGCTCTATCCCAGCACAATTTAGATTAAAGCAGCTCCCAACCTGCTCTATATCAATTGAGATGTGGCTCAGCAGTCTTTGGCCGTGCTCCCTCTCATTATCCCTCAAGATTAGGGATGTAAAAGTCCCATTTAATCAGTCAACAGTTAACCTATTAAGTGGGATCCAGGAAAGGGACTGCTGTAGCACAGTCTGTGACAAGCTGGTGCCAGTTAACTGATGATTACCTGTTCACATCCCCAGTTGGGACCCCAAACTGGGTCATCAAAATGTGTCAAAGGATCATGTGGCTGATCTTGTCCCCCCCAAGTCTGGCTTGGCTCACTCCCCTTCTACCTCTTGTCTTCCAGAGCCACTCAGATTTGGCCCAGTTGTCATGATGCCAGGAGTTTGGGTAGCCCAAATTTGAGCGAGTGACACTACAATCCTGTAAGCCAGGTCACAACTCCACTTTGACAAATTTGGTTCAGTCAGGGGATGGGACCAAAACTTACTGGTGCTCAGCCCGGAAAATTGACGGTGGGGTGAATGCCGGGCAGGCTCTAACTGAAACCATCCCCAGGGCATGCTGTAACTAGGGATGTTAGTGGCTAGTGAGATAACCATTTAACCCATCAGATCGTTATTGGTCCTGGTTAATTGCAACAATTCTCCCTCCCTATACGTGCTCTGCATTTAAACTCATACTGGCAGGCTGGCTCAGTTCCAGCCGGACGGTTCGAGTTTTAAACGAAGAGAATGCAGTGGAGCCGCCTGCTACCCCGTGCTATTGCCTCTGATACAGCCCCTGTTCACAGGAGGCCCTGTGGCTAGTTTCATTGCCAAAGAGGAAAAAAAAAAAACACTTACCAATCCTGGCACACTTCCAGAATATGCCCAATAATCTGTATAGATACATAAAAAGTTGTTAAAGTCCTACATTTAATATAATTTAAAAATAATTTAAATGACTTTTGGTGCATGATTTACTATTCAACCTTTTCACTTCTGATCAAATTAAACATTTGAACTCATTCTTTTCTTGCCCTCCAAAAACAAAACACAAATGGCAGTCATTGCCAAGAAAGTACCAGGGCAGAAGTGGTGCTCTGGCAACCTCTTGGATAAAACTTGCACAGTATTTGACAGATGCCAATCTCTGAACTTACTTTATATCTATCTTTTTCACTATTTATGTTCTTTTACTCTTCATTTTCACCTCAGCTCAGGCAATAAAAGTAAATAAAGTATTTTTCTGAGGCAACAATGCTACAATTTCTGTGTTGCAAATACAAGAGAGTACGGTTTACATTTAAACAAATCAGTTTTCATTGGAACTTAATTGCTCATGGAAGCATTACTATTCCAAAGTTTCCAAAAACTTACTTGAAAAATCTAGAAATAAGCCAAATTTTACCTTGACAGGGTTCCTTTAACTTAAACCTTTTTCAGGCTTTTTCTTTACCAAACGGTGATTTAACAATATGGCCAGAGGCACATTCGGAAGAGTGACAGACTATGGGCAACACACAATGTAAAAGCTTTGGCACCTTGAAACTCATGATTTGATAGGAAGAACATACTGTAGTCAGTTGAAATGCTAGTTGGTTTGGTATTAGACAGTTTACAGAAGAAAACAAGTTGCATCATTTTTAAAGACTTCAATCTCCTGAAGCTGGTGATAAATGTAATTTTTTTCTTCACGTCATCTCAAAATATCAGAAAGACCACTATATAGGAAGGATATAGCAAGACGGGAGCACTCAAGATACTTTTAAGTAAGAAAAGATGTTCAAAGGTTCATTCTGCTGTGACAGCTAGGTACAATTTACTTATTTACTTTTATTACTTTACTACTAATATCACTAGAATTAATTTTACTCAATATGTCTAGATATTTCCAATTAAGCATGGAATATCCTAGCACAAAGGGACAGGGGTTATATAATATGTGAGCTCTTTGTAGGTAATCTTACCTTCAGGAAACTATGTGTTGGCTTAGAAGCAATGAAATTTCATTTTCTAATACAAAGTATTCAACAAAAATAAAATGGCACTTCCTATGTAAAAACAAACCTACAGATCAAGAGCTTAAGTTGTCCACCATGATAGTACCCTTTGAAAACATTTCTGGTGTATAAAGACAGTTCTATTGTACTGAGAGACATATGCTTCAAGAGTAAACATGATAGGTCCAGATGAAAGGAAGTATTATGTGCCAAAATAGCACTAGAATTTTAATCAGTAAAATAAATATACAGTCTTACTGTGTACACCTCATTGACTACGTCTTATCCACCATTAACAAAAATTGATATAAAAAATAAAATTTCAGTAGATCTTCATGTCTTCCCATCTTTATTAATGTCAAGAAAAATAACTGATATGTCAATGATAATGATATGGTTTTCTTGTGTAAGGACAGATAAATGTTTTCATACTAGTTTTCCAAATGGAAAAGGCTCAGGTGTCATCTTATATAGACATTTAAGTACACATTTAAAAAAAAAAATGTAATAGCTATTCTAGCCCCAACACTTCATTAAAGAGTAAATCATTCTTAAGGATTTTACAAATACAATCCTTTTAAGTATAGCAAAGAATTATAAAAAATCAGCATGTTCTGAAAAATGTATGTAGAAACAGCAGGATAATAGATAATTATTGTTCTCAATGGCTTCCTGATCAAATCGGAGGTATTTTCAAGCAAAAAGATGATTATTTTAAATAAAAGCCCTGCAAACTCAAAAATGGATCTGAATGTTAGGCTCTTCTTTTGCTGGCACAAACAAAATTGACTGTATAAATGAGGGCAGAATTTGGCCCAACAATTGGTACCTCATCTTCCATTGCATTGAGAAGCAACCAGGAACAGAACCCAGCTCACTTTCCCCCAAAAGTCAGCCCAGCAGTATTAATAAATACTAATATAAATATTGATTTGATATAGGGTACACAGAGAAAACTTGTTGAATTTGCTTAGTGCCCTTTTCAAACTGTCATTTTCCAGACAGAACCAAACTTTAAGAAGTAAAGTGGATAACGCCATACCGGGACAACAATAGCAAAATCCAGTTGCATGTAGGAACACCAAATTCCTTAATTTAGAAAAAATTTAAACAGCATGATGAGAAACTGCTATAGTGATAGAATCTTTGTTTTGATATTGAAAATTATTTGAAAATTCCTAGTTAAATGTTTAATTATATGTATAGACTATTAACAGGCCTGGTCCGAGCCATTTTAGTGCCCCGAACCCAGGTGCATGGTGCATGCGCAGGCCCGCTCTCCTAGGGAGGACAGGCCTGCCCCCAGGGCGCACGGCACATGCGCTGCTCAGCCTGGCCCGGCCCCCACTGCTGGCACGCAGCCCGGGGCAGGCCACGCCTGGCCGTGCAGGGCCCCACGTCCGTGGGGGGAAGGGTGCTGCTGGCCGGTGCCATGGAGATGGGAGGGACCGGCACTGCGGGAGCCGGGTGTGTAGCGCCTGATGGCAGCTATAAGGGATGCCACGCGCCTCTTACAGCTTCCATCAGGCGCCCCTCATCAGTTGGCGCCCCAGGCAGCTGCCCGGCTCGCCCACCCCTTACTCCGGCCTTGACTATTGATAATCTCTGGAATTTTCCTTCACATTTGTATTCTAAAAGACTCAATAGAAATATAATCCTCACCTCTTTCTTTCCATCTCCATCTTAAAAGCCATACAGATATAGTACATATAGTATGAAATAACTCGAAGTAGAAAAATTGGTACATGACCAAGTACGACGTGTTCTATATCTATTTTCTGGGAGTTGAAATTAATAAGTACAAGTTCAGGCAGAGAGTTATAAAACGGAGGGTTGTAAGTGGAGGTGGTCGTAACTCGGGGAGTGGCTGTATATATAAAAAAAATCTTGTAAATGCCATCTCATCCTCTTCATTTTATGAGATGTCCTTTATGTCAGCAGCAGTTTTAATTTTAAAATGAGAAATTCTGTAAGGAAGAGCAAACTACATCACTATTGACATGTTCTGAAGTAAGTAAAGATGATCAAAATCCCAATTTATCTTAAACCACTTGTGTGAAAATACAAACCATATACATGGCTAGTTACAGAATAAGCAACCTATCATTTTTTAAAAAAGCAGTTAGATACAAACATACCCAGTTTTATTTTTGTCCAGTAAGCTGGGAGCCAAGGATCGGATATAAGCACAGGTACATATGAGCAGCAAGATTACTGTCAGTAGACTCTGAAAGTTGAAGATTGCAGACTAAAAAAGAAAGTTAGAAAAACAATGACACTTTTTCATTACAAGCCATTATAAATCATCTTTTTCTCTCAAACTCAACAGCGTTCATAACATTTCTTAAGCTGCTAGTTGTATAGTAAATATTGCAGAAAAAAGGCATAGTATTTTAATAATTAAAATACCGGGATGTAAATATCTGACAGTTGGTCCACTTTTTTATTAACTGCCTATAGGGCATAACAACTTGGAATGATTCTTCGGAATCTGTTGTCTGTGACAAATATTAAACATTTACTATAGATTTAAAAATATATATATATAAAATTACTAATCTTGTTAGTCTGTCTTACATTGATAAAATACTGCAAATTCATTTTGTGCACTTAATTTTTCAGCATATTGTCTGGACATTATCTATTAGCAAATCAGACTGATCATTGTACCATTGCTGGCATAAGAAATATGAAACTGCAGATGATATGGAGGGCGAGCTAACTATATTTCCATAAGACAGGACATTTTCTATACTGATGCTAATTTACTGTAAGTGCCAAGCCACTATGTTTGAATTAATAAGTCACTAGCAACCTCTATATTGTATTTTTTTCTTTTAATGGGATCATAGGAAGTTACATTTTCTAAAAAGGCATTTGCTAACCTCTTGATGTGATTCATAGATTAGATTAAAATTATTTAACTTATTACAATGTGGAAATATTTCAGCTATTTGAGACTCTAGTTTTATTGCTTCCTAATACTGCTCCACTAGTATGTGGATTAATTCAATAGTTACGCTACCCACAATTATCTTCAGACAACTTACTGCTAATTCCTCTGCTCTCAGTTCTTATTTATTCTCAGCCCACGAAAGGGCAAAACAAGTAGAGGAATTAAGTTTTTCCTTGCTTTCTGGGATTCCCGGTTCCTGAAAAATTGCTGTCCGAATACTTTTTACTCCTGTTGCACTAACAACACTTCATTATAAAAGACTAGTTAATACTGTATCTGTAAGTACCCAACACGTATAGTATACCTTCATGTTGCGGAATCATCTTCTAGCAGCGAACGAAATGGGATTCATTAAGATCTCATGAAGGCTACTATTTAAATGACCAGATGGGTAACTATTTAACTGTCAGGGCACTTTATTTCCACTTCCACAAGCACCCTGGGTAATTCTGTGTCAAAAACTGTTCATAATAACTTAAAATTCTGCAACATTTTGCATCTCCTATTTATCAAAATAATAAAATTACACAACATGGCTTTCAATTACAGTAGGCTTCCGATAACCCGGCACCTTTGGGACCTAGGTGGTGCCGGATTATCGGATATGCCAAAGTATCGGGAGGTACTCTAACGGGGGGCTGTGACGGTTCTGCTGGGACCCTCACTGCATCCAGGGGGTGGGCAGGAATGGCACAGCGAGGAGCGAACCCTCCGCTGTTTTGCAGGAAGGCGGGGGAGACCCTGCGTCGCCGCCGAGAGTTTCCAGAAGGGGAGTGGGCTCCTCACGCCTCAGACTGCAGTAGTTATCGCTGAGCAGGGTGGTGAGGGGCGGCACTACAGGACCAACCCGGCAGCACCCCAGCTGCTCTGCTCTGTGGCTTGTCAGTCGTTTGTCAGTTTCAGCCACTTCCTCAAGTGCACCGCTGCTGAAACTGAGGAGCGGTGGAGCAGAGCAGCTGCGGGTTGGTCCAGCAGCGCCACCCCACACTCCCCTGCTCAGCACCCGGCGGCACCCCTGCTGCTTTGCTCCGCCCCGCAGCTTCCCCAAGTCTGCTGCTGCCACTGCTGAAACTGACTAGCGGCAGACTTGGGGAAGCGGCGGGGGGGAGCAGAGCAGTTGGGGTGCTGCCAGGCGCTGAGCAGGGGGGTGAGGGGCAGCACTGCGGGACCAACCCAGCAGCACCCCAGCTGCTCTGCTCCGCCGCTTGTCCGCAACTCGTCAGTTTCAGCTGCTTCCCCAAGTCTGCCACTGCTGAAACTGACAATCGGGAGTGCTGGACCACTGGATGCCGGACAATTGGGAGTTTTACCGTACTTTGGATTTTTTTTTCAAAATAATTGTTATCAAGAATATAAACAAAGTTTCAGGAAATGATTTTTGAAAATAGATTCCTTGCTAGGCATATCAACAACAGAACTGAGTAAATAATTCACTTAAATTACAATACAGAAATGTATTTCCTGCCCTGCTCATCAGTGCAAAGGCTTGGGGAATTTGGGGGTAAAGGAGGAGTTGAGGGAGAATGAATTAATTACTGGGCAGGAGTCGAGGAGTGAACCTGGAGGGTTGCTGGGTATGGATGGCAGAAATATGGAACAATTTCTTTGGCAGTGGAGGGATTGTTAAGGAGTTAGGAAGCCTCCCAATATAGACTCTTGCTGACTGCAGCCTCTCCCAATTGAGTCCGGTACATATGCTCTGTCCCCATGTATCCTTGCATCCCTACTTCCATTCAGTCCCCATCTTCCGCCCACTAGTCCATCCGAATACCAGTCTAAGTGACTCCCAGCAACTCCTCGTGCCCTATTCTGTCTGCCCCTCCCCCATATCCCATGCTTCCTCCCCTGGTCACACAGGCAAGGTGCTGTAAAGGTGACAGCTTCTTCCCCTCTTTCTGCATGGCTGGCTGCTCCCGCCCCAAGCTAGTGGCCCTATGGGATGCCAGAGCAACCCCTGATGGGCAAAAGTTGTAAACATAGTTCATTCTCAACAGAATATATTCTTCTGCAGGAAAGAAAAAACTATGGGGGATGTGAACTGTGTGAGTGCAAAATTCACCCAGGCGTATACAGACACATTCTCTACTGCAGCTCAAGTCTCATCTCCACCAGGCTAAGTAAGAAAGATCAAGAATCAAACCCTTCAGAAGTAACATGAACAAAACTGTTCATAACGCATAGTAGTGACTTAGCTAGAGAGCAAGGAAGGGGCATTTTATTGTAATGAAATGATTCAAAATGTAATCAATAATCTATGATAATTTGTTGATGCCTATCTACCAATAAGATTTCAGGTATTTGAAAGGATCTGTGTGTACAAAAGGAAAAACTGTAACACTCGCAATGAGGGCTAAAACATGAATTGGAAGTCCAGACTGAAAATTATGAGGATAAACATCTTAAAAATGTAGAGTAGAAGAAATCTTTCCTGATAATTTTTTTTATTAAATTCCGACACTTAACATTTTTGCAATTCATCATTTCCTCACAATCATGATAAACTTTTAGTCTTACAACAGACTGTTACTCATAAAGCTACCACAAATGTACACCAAGGCTAATCCAGAATTTGCAAGAGCACCAGGACCTGGAGAAAGCAAAAAATCTGAAAGCCAAGGCTGAGAGTTTGCACTCCTGTGAACAGAATCACGTGAGGTTACTTGTGATTCTCCACAGTTTTATAGACCAAGCTAGGTGCATCCTCAGCTATGTATTAATCATATTTAGGGAACAGATACAAGGAACAGGATGAACGAGAGCTATATCAGCAGAGTGGTTAAGTTAATGCTCTATGACAACAGTTACCAATCCATCATTCATAACTGAATGGTAGATCCTGGAGCTTCTGCCAGTCTGTCATAATGCATAATTAGGTTGCCTCTGCTTGGCCCCATACTGCTCCTGAAAGGAGCTGGCTGGCTAAGTGCAGGCCGTCTCTGAACCCCAGGGGTCGGGGAGTAGAATAAGGATGTTAAGTATTGGTTATTTCCAGCTGATCCCGGGCTTAGTGAAACAGCAGAGCCGCATGGAGCCTGGGGTCAGCTGGGAACTTCCCAGCTGACGTCAGGCTCTGCGGCGCTGCCCGTCTAAATGCCGCTGCGTTCATATTGCTGTCTTTATCTAAACACCACAACTGAGGGATACTGGGGCATATCAAAGGCCCAAAGCATCATCTGCCTCATCTGAACTAGAAAAAGCAGACTTACTACAACACAGAAAATGTGTTACAAACCGTCCTATCACCATTTTTAGAAATACAGGGCCTGTGACTGGAGGAAGAAAGTTGTGGGAAAACAGCCAATGGGGAAGAATTGTTCTTCCCATCCATTTAATAATTTAATATATTTAAATCAAGAGGCTTTGGTTTCTAGTGAAAACTTTCACACAAAATTGAAAAAGTGAATTCCAATGGGTCAAAAAGTATGCACAGCATTTGCCAATCTGACTATCATCAAGTACATTAGTCCCACATTTTCATGAGTACTGAATCAACATTTTGCAGCTATTTGTTGGCTCTTTCGCCGAATATTTCCACTCCCAAACAGTGGTGCTAGCTTTGTGGCCAGGAGAGCACCTCTGCAGACAGTGGCATTCATACTAGCACTTCTTGTAGGCAATACTTTTTTGTCTTTCAAGAGGAGTATTTTAACACCTTTAAGCAACCAGTTTTGTCTTTCAACTGCCAATGTAGACATAGCCTAAGGAAGGGTATACATCAACTCAGAGGATATGGTTCCCAACAGATAACACTATCTTCTCTAATTTGCTTATTATTGTACCTCTGGTGAAGCTGAAACAATTGTCTCCTAGATCTCACCAGATACAAAAGTCTAATTTTCTTTACTTTTATAATGTAGTTATGCATTATCAATACAAAATTCTGTGGCATATAAAAAGCTAAAAACTATGATGAAGATACTAAGTTCAGGTTTTTAGACTAGCAAAATACATAACACAGGGGGAACTTTATAGATGGAGTTACACAATTTAATATTTAATGAAAATCTAATTTTTAGGAAGTTGATGGAAAATGCAATAGAAAATGCTGTAGAATCCAAGGATCTTATTGCAGAATTTATATTCACACTAGGTTAATACAGAAGACCAAGGCCTTAATGATAAGACATTCTTTTGCTTTAACTTGTTGTGAATGCTTTACCATCGTAAGCAGCACCCTAATGGGTACAATAAATATATTATTTCAACAAAAAGTGCAATGTCCACTCTTCAGAAGTAGAAGTGAAATCTGGCCCCACTGGTGTTAATGGAAGTTGTGTGTAATTGACTTTAAT